CAATCAGGGCCAGTAAGGGCCTTTAAGAAAGGGGACCATAATCCCCAGGGGACCATAATTTCTTTCACACCGGCTTTTAGAGTGAATTATGCCTGCCATTAACAGAGGTCAAAAAATTACCAAAAAATAAAATCCCAATTTTTCACAATTTGGAGAACACAATGCAACAGAAAATAATACAAAACTATTTTAAATATATGATCAAGGTTTCTAAGCTATACGTTTGAGGTTATTTTTCTTATCAATACCAAAACATTGTGTAATCAGTGCATCGACGTTTTGTATTGTATCTCAGGTATTAATAAGATTAATGCTACAAATGAATCACTTTTATATTAGAATTACAAATGCTTAAATTATGTAAGTTTTTCACAAAATAGGTCTCAATACGTTTTGAGATATGGACTCTTATTCAGCGGTGAACATTAAAAATAAAGGAGAGCCTATTGCTCTTCCTTGACTAATTGGGACGATAGCTGGAAATTATTTTTCTCGTATTCAGATATAGCTCCGTTGCTTACCCTACTATCACACCAAGACTTGGTCGAACTCCTGAATGATTGAGAAAAATGGTTATCATTATCTTCCTAAAATCTGCTTATATCCAGCGGTAAGGTCAAAGAAGAAAAAACCATCAGAAAACTTGATGATATCCAGTTATTATCCACAAGGAACGTCGAGGAAGAATTGTAAGGCGTTCGATTGCATATGACTCTAATTGATTATTAGACATGCCCTTGGAATATATGAACATTTCAATACCTCTGTAACATTTAATTTGATATAAATCTTACCTATTTGTTATTCTATAAAACATAAACAATACTTTGTTGTTTGACCCCTTGCGATTATATGGAAAACATCTGGTTATGAAATGTTTTAAATGGTAAGAAAACTAATATATTCCAAATCATAAATTATCTAAATATTCCACACAATTTTTGTTTAATCTGCTTGGCTCATATTTGAAAAATCAGACAAAATCTGAAAAACACACTTGCGTAATTACACTAATTGAACACCGACATCCACAGTAAAATTAAAGTATATTTTTACATTACAATAATCTATTTTTTGTTCGTATGCTTAGAATCACGGTCAGAGTCTTATAAAATGTATAAAAGTTCGAATCAAAATATTTACGTTTTTTGACCCCTTCTGATGAAAGACATTTTTCGAACCGAAAGCCGGAAGTTTTTTCAGCAAATGGTATTTTAAAAGAATCAAGACATATGCACCTCCATAGATATTGCTTCAAATATTGCTGCGCTATAGTGTGCTACGGATCCTTCATATTCGAAATCATACCATGGACTATATGCGTGCATCATTGGGAAACATACATGTGGCTAATGAGGTATTTGCCTTCAGGCGCCCTCCATGTGTAGAATATGGGAAAAGTTGCAACAATAAAATATGCAGTGCCCATACACCATGTGATTCTGTATTGGCTGTACAGCGCCCAGGTGGCGCTGGTAGATTACTGTTCCGAGAGTTCATAGTCTACGACAACAGCCAAGTTTATCCAGAATTTTTGATAACTTACGAAAGAATATAGACTCATATCCTACGCCGGGCGGCAAGCGAAACATTATCTAGATTTATTATAATTATTATGAATATTATTTTTTGCCCAAAATCACTTGAAGAGTTCTTTCTTGTTACGGGCCTGTGTTGCAATAAAAACTCATTATAAGTTTAGATTAATAACCCCGTTTTATAAATACCATCATTGTCTCACAAAGCGTCAGATTCTGTAAAATTATGCGATGTTGTGATTTTGCAATAAAAACAGACTGATGTACTGTAACTTAAAGATTTTACTGTGTACTTTTTATAAGAAACGAAGCATCAAATGCTTTTTGAGGTGTCCCATGAGCTGATATCAACTTCGTGTCTTTTAAAGCATACTAGACTCGACTATATGTTTTACGATCATACATATTTCATGAATATTGTGATGGATATTATTGTAATCTGTCAATTAATTTGTTGTAAACTTTCCACCAAGCATAATGGTGATGACGTACAATGATAGATATCGACAATGGCGTTGGCGGTAGCGGTGTGGTGACTATGATGTAATGATAATGTTAATTTACAGACTGGGCCAAAAAGCTCCATATTTTTACATATGAATAGAACTTTTTTGAAAATGAATGGATTTCAATAAACTCTTCGAATGAAGAGCAGAAATCACCTTTTCATTTATGTACACAAAATTGGCATTAGATTAATCAAATTATATTTATTATAAGTAGGCCAGTTTATTATCGTATTAGCTTAATTCATATTATATCGTATTTGGTATAACATAGAGTGCTGTGTTACAATTCTTTTTATTGAATGTTGCCAATTGTGGCTTGTACTAAACGTGTGTTTTCTGAGCTGTATCCTTATTCCGGTACACCGAATTATCGGTATTTATTTCTGGTGAAAATAGAACTTCTGACTACGTCAGAGCGTTTCCAGGCGAATTTCAAATAATGTAGCAACCATTTTAAATTCTAAGAGCGTTTTTTTTTTTTATAGGTTATGTTTTATTTATCAATACTATCATTTCACAATGTCCGACAATGGGCCAAGGCCATTGGCATTAGTGGCCCATGTCGATTTTCACAAATATAATAATATATTTTCACATTTATACAATTTCTAAAATAGAGTTAAGTAGGCACATAAAAATCAAGTTATTTTAGGCTGCTGAACACTCAGCATGACAATACATATAAGTTACATGTGACATTTTACACCAAATATATAAAGTTAAACATAGTCTACAATTAAAGAAATAAAGTTGGCAGTTGTTGTGACTATAAGCTTGTTAGTTTCAATTTTATATGTTGAGCCACCATATAACAATGTATCTAGTTTCTCTTTTGCATTTAGTTTGTTATAATGGTTAATGTTGAAATTGGGTATCCCTGCAAGGTCGAGTGCTAGTTGTTCCCTGAGATCAAGTAAAAGGGGGCAAGAAAAGAATAGGTGTTGGGTTGTCTGAGATCGAAAACCGCACAGGCATTGAGGATTGACATTATTGAATTGATGCTGGAACTTATGGTAACGAAAAATGAAATCACATCTGGTTTTATTAAGCACTATTTCAGCTTGCCTGTCTAAATTCAAGTGGACTGTGTCAATTAGGGTCTTCTTCGGAAATAAATGTTTTTTAAGATGGTATTTAAAAGTGCGCTTTATTGGAATGGTTTTGAGTTGATCAGGTAATGTGTCCCTCTCCCATTCAGATATAGAAGAAACTACTGCACCGCGTCTAGTTTTTTCAGATTGTTTTATGGGTACAATAAAATGGGGCGTTTTTCTTAGGGCTCGAGTTGGCCTCTTGTTTCGGTACAAATTGAAAATATTTGAAATGTATGGAGGGGCATTTTCATAATAAACATCATGCATTAATAACAGTTTCTTTTGTTTTCTTTTTTCCGATAGTGGAGCCCAGTTTAGAATTTTCAGAATTTTGTTTGTATTTGTTCCCTTGATACAGCCGCTAACAATTAAGGCTGCCTTATAGTGAAGCCTGTCCAATTTCAAGAGTTCGTGTTTTGGAGCCGCATCAAATAAAACTGAACCGTATTCTAAATGGGGTAAAATAAAGGACATATACATAGTTTCAAGGTGTTTACTAGCAATCTTATATTTTAAACAATTAAGTGGATTTATCATCTTGTCTATTTTGATACGGAGTTGGGTTATGTGTTCGGTGAAAGTCAGAGCATCATCTAAAATTACACCCAGGTGGCAATGTGAATCTTGTCTTGCTATAGTTACACCATTCATGGTAACTGGCTCAAACTGCCTCTTGAAACGACATCTACTCCTAAATATCAATTCTTTACTTTTAGATGCTTTGAATTTCAACTTCAACAAATCGGACCATTCAGACAACTTATCAAGATCAAATTGTATTTCCCGCTGAGCTTCAGTTAGATCTCTGTCCTTATCAACTTTAAAAAATATAGAACTGTCGTCAGCATATAAGAACATTTTACCATTTCTAATGACTTCAGGTAGATCATTTATGTACAAAAGGAAGAATAGTGGCCCCCAGATAGATCCCTGGGGTACCCCACTATTGATTATGCCTTCCTCTGAGAATTTGGAAGATATATGATTGACACGGCAGTTTAATTTTCTATTGGTAAGATAACTTTGAAAGAGATCAATAATACTCTGAGGTAAACCGTATGATTTTAATTTTTTGATCAACAGGAAGTGAGGAACGGCGTCAAAAGCACCTTCTATGTCGAGGAAGATGCCTCTGGTGTCCGCCAAATCATCAATATTTGAATTAATAAAATGAACAATGCTTACCAGTTGATTTTGTGTATTGTGTCCTGGTAAAAAGCCAGATTGATTGATATAAAGTAAATTATTTTCTTTAATAAAAGTGTACAAATGCGATCCTGTAAAATTCTATTGAATAACTGACACAGTGGTTTATCTAAGGTGGAAGCTACCATTTTAAGCATTTTATTTGAAATATTGTCTGGTCCACCCTGCTTTGAAGTATCAAGATTTTTTAGCAATTTATTAACTGTTTCCTGTTCTATTGATGGAATTTCCATTAAATTTTCAGTTCTAGATGGAAAATATCTGTCCGTGGATTCATTGTGATTATGATGAAACTTTTTAAGAAATTGATTCAAAAACAAGTCAGCTTTAGATTTATCATCTTCTGCTGTAATAATACCACTTTTTAAAATCTAAGAGCGTTATCCTGAAGTAGGCTACAAACCACAAATCAGCGTATTGGTATCAACATGTACAACAGAGATTATACAAACAGTGTTATTTTCAATTGAGCTATGTTTGTGTTGGATATAATCCACTATGCTTTAATGCTTTGGGGTACCTGGAAGCATCTTTCGGTTATCTTCAGTAACAGGCATGCCCGGCTGTCTTCGGTTGCCAAGGTCAAGGCCAACACTGACCCCTGGAATTAGAATTCAAGTGTCAGTTTTGTCCACAGAATCGGCCAAAGGAAATTAAGCAGATATGTCCCAATACGCCTGGAAGAAATTAAATGCATTTTCTTTGGCTTCTAGTAGTTGATCTTTCTTAGTTGCAAATGTTGAAATCGCAGTTTTCAAGGTGCCGCTCTCAGTAGCTTGTGCCGCAATAATAATTATTACGGCATCATCATTATTCTTGTTTAGGCAGTTTGCTCGAGATATTAACTCTTCGACAGTGATTGTCAAATCGTTTGATTCAGTATACATCGAAACGGGGAATCCCTTTTCTGCCATACCATCCATCATCGACATGTGGGGATTCGATCCCGAGACCCTTGGGTTTATATCGATCAGGAATAGCTCCCCGTTTCGTGTTTCCATAACGTCAAAACAAACGTAACCAAAATAACCCATCTCGTGGAGTTTTTTGATCGCAGGCTGCAGAAATCTCAGCATACGTAGATTGACTTCGTCCTCTTCTGGAGTCCTATAAAAGATACCTCCATTCCAGTTCCTCGCAGAGCAGCTACTATAAGTCTGATTACTGAAACCTCCAAGTTTGACGGAGCCATCTTTATGGATGTATACCTGGACTCCTCGATCAGCTATTACATCAGTCAAAAGTTCTTGATAGACCAGGTCTCCTGTCCAACCCACTTTCTTAACCCATTCTTCATATTCAAGAATTTCTTGGTCGGTTGTCGCTATCTTTACACCCTCAGAACCACCGGCGATTGGAATTTTAATCACACATGGAGCATTTGCTTCTTTTTTCGTCATGTCTCTTGGTTGTTTGATTTTGATTTTTGGGATAAAGGTCTTAGAGTAAATTTCGTAGAATGTATCAGGATTAATCGCGTGCTTCTGAGCTGGGATTTGTTCACATGGGAATAAGGTAAATAACGAGCCATCATCAATCTTAGCAAGATTTTCATGATTTAGAATCCTGATATCCGTACATTCTTCATAATAGGGCATCCACCTTCTCCAGTGTGCCTCCAGGGAATTCAGATTCTTAGGGATTTCAAACGCTAAAACAGGAACCCCAGAGCCGATCGTTGCAATAATCCTCATTACCGAGACAGCAGCCGTATCAAATGAGTTAGACGGGTACTCCATCTTTTGGTACTTCTTGAGATTTTTCAAAGGATAGTTTGTATTCAACGCAGAGGTAGGATACATTGCAAGAACGACAGGATTTGTGATATCCTGTTTCAAGAAATCGCCAAGTCTACATCTGGTAAGTCTTCCATCAGCAATTATTGGCATATCACAAAAATTGTCATCTTTCACCATCTGATGTCCAGCGCTTTGCTCGATGTATCTGAAAGCAAATTGAAATGAGAAAATATATATATTTGTTGCGATGAAAAACTGCACTGTTTGTTGATTAATGGTTAGTATGCTGATATGTTTCTTTATTTAAACCAAATAAATAAAGAGCATTTAAGATTTCAATTTTCAATTCATTTGAATAAACATGGCAGTCAATATACTATTAGGAATCAGTGCAGAAGCCTGATGTCGGATTATTAAACTATATATACTCTGATATTCAGGAGAGAGGAGATCTATCCCAAATAGTTAAGTTCTTCTGACATCGCGATTATATATGAATTCCTGGAATTTTTTTGTAACATTTTTTGTTGGCAGTTTGTTCAGTGTGTTTTGTTCGTCCAGTTCTGTCTAAAATGAAAATAATATTTCAGTTTGAAATTGATCTGCCTAGTTATTTATGTTAAATGAGATTCAGTATATATAAGTGATTTGAAAAAATTGTTTTGTTCGATGGTAAGGAGGATTTGATCCCAGGGTTCCAACTCGATATTAGGGAGTTTAAGCTTGCAATGTTTTTCATAACTAAACGTGAATGGAAACTATTTAAGCGATGCATTTCTATGGGCGATCGGTCATAGGTATAGGTTGGCGTTTCGATTTTACATGCAAGCTTTAACTCCCTATTATGTGATAAAGCTATAGCGTCATTATTGTATGACATTTATCTGGCTATAAATTCACAATCAGTAATCAACATATTTAAAGTAGTTTCTTTATAACTTCTGTGTGTTTTGATTTTTTTGTAATAAGATCAAAACTCGCGAAACAAATTCTGAAGTGATGGCGTCTGTTATGACGTTATGGCACCATATATGGCAGAATATGAAGCCATAAATTGCGAAATATTGAGATTGCATTTTGGGATCCAATCTTTTATTGTGTGATGGGATACAGCGGACATGCCGGTTTTTTAGTTTATAAATTTCTCTGATCTAACATATGCGTCTGCATATAGTAGTCCTTAAACATTCATTTGAAGTTGGAGGTATTTCAACTCGCAATCAATTTACTTCGCAGTTGAAAAATAACAATTTAGCAATACGATGATAGAGAGGGGTGGCTGACAAAATTGACAGGGATTTATTACGGCTTCTACCAATGCAAATTCCTATGCGTGAGTGTTAAACGGCTTCTACCAATGCAAATTCCCATGCGTGAGTGTTAAACGGCTTTTACCAATGCAACTTCCCATGCGTGAGTGTTAAACATGCGTGAGTGTTAAACGGCTTTTACCAATGCAACTTCCCATGCGTGAGTGTTAAACGGCTTCTACCAATGCAAATCCCCATGCGTGAGTGTTAAACGGCTTCTACCAATGCAAATCCCCATGCGTGAGTGTTAAACGGCTTTTACCAATGCAAATCCCCATGCGCCGTGAGTGTTGAACGGCTTTTACCAATGCAACTTCCCATGCGTGAGTGTTAAACGGCTTCTACCAATGCAAATCCCCATGCGTGAGTGTTAAACGGCTTCTACCAATGCAAATCCCCATGCGTGAGTGTTAAACGGCTTCTACCAATGCAAATCCCCATGCGTGAGTGTTAAACGGCTTTTACCAATGCAAATCCCCATGCGCCGTGAGTGTTGAACGGCTTTTACCAACATCTAATCAAAGGGTAGATGTTACCAACAGACCAGTGGTTTCAGTAACTTTGTGTACAAGAGGCAGATGAAAAATACAAGAGGCGGCATTCAAATTAACCAATTTTACGCTCCCGACAATGCAAATTCTTGTTATTTTAGAGTCATTTCCACGTGTAATGTGGCAAGACATGGGCTCCACAAAATAACGCCTGGAACTGTGGAATGACTAGGGAAACTTATATAGAATGCCATTTACCTTTTATAAAATAGCTTACCCTTACACATGTTGCATTTCACAAATCCAAAATGCACCTGTTGAATTGAACACTTTTGATATAAATCAAAATCTAGAATTGTCATTATTAAAATGAGTGATGTATTAATAGATGATTCACTTGTGATTATGTGTATATCAGATTCATTTTATTTTTTCAACACCTCCAGAGGGTCCAGGGTGTTCCAAAAGTAACAGGACTGGATCTGGTATTTTGTTAAATATACACCAATTGTCTTCAAAATTTTACATAATGTACCTTCATGTTTTGTAACTAAAATTGCCGAATTACACGATTTTTGTCGAAACTGGTTTAGAAATCGGCCGATGAGTATGTGCCCGGTGCATATGTGGCCTAGGCATTAGGGAGAGACCGAGGTGGGAGACATCCCCCTCCCCTCTACACCAAACTTGTTCTCACTACGCTTTCGAAAATTGCCTGAAAGGCCTCCTCACACATTATTAAGGAAAACATATCTACACATTTTGCGCATTTAACCATTTGATAACATATTGTGGATCTTATCTTAATTTGTTAATGTGAATTCGCACCTTCATTTGCATGGAAGACTTTGATAAAATCCTTTTTTGATGATCTTTGTTATAATGCTGATGTTTGGTTAAGCTTCGAAATTCCAAATTGAACAGTCTAGTAGTCTACTAAGGATACCATGTTGTAAATATTGTTTTCTTTATAATATATTGAGCTAGGACTGCTCAAACAAATTCGCTTTTTGTAGCTACAAGTATTTAATTTCAATAGATGATAAACTTCTCAATATAAGAAATTACCCTCATAAGACATTGTTGCAAGGTGTGTTGCAATTTATGTGACACCCCGCATTCCCGGGCCCGCATTATGTATTCTCGAAGAAAGCCATCATGATAAACCATGACATCTCATTTCTTCTAAGCCCTGTGTTTCAGGTGAAACAGAAAGATGCTATGAGTATCAGAATGGACGAAAGCATATATTTGCATTGATGGTGTATAGATAGTTATTTTATATAGTGTTTTTTGTTGTACGTGGAAACCTATTCTAACCAGGAAGGATATTGCAACTTTTTTCAAGATCCTAAAGTTGCAATTTTCGTTATTGTGTTTCATTGTAAAGACGCACCCGTGAAAGTGTGTCGCTGGTATAAAGGCGTAGTTCTAAATAAATCTAAGATACACGTTTTTTTAACTTGTACCTGAACGTGTAGAATTATGGACCTGGTGGATTTTTTCTCCATTTTGTACTGTTAATACTTGGCCGGTTGAGTATATAAAGGTATACATGTCCCAGCTTTTGGTAAGTGGGGGGTCAAACCTCCCCCCTCCCCATCCACACATACACCTTTTATCATGCTTTAGTAACTTCGCATTGTAATTACAAGTCCACCCGTGTAGCTCTGCGGTAGCGCATGCACCTCTTACGCAATAGGTCCCGGATTCGATCCCCGGTTCAGGCAAGACTAAATTTGCTTGTTTGCGTGAAAAACTCCAGGGTGTTTGACTGAGTGGCCCGCAACTCGTACAAAAAGGCTGTGGTGTGTACTTGTATGTCTATGTATAAGTGCACATAAAAGAACACAGGGCTCCTTCAAGGAGGGGTTTCTGGGTCTATCTTCTAGGTTAATTACGTAAATTACGACCGTATAATATGTACGGGATATACCCAAGAGGTACAATATAGGGCCCAAATCTTGAGAAAGAGTCGAAGGCATGCCAGGCGAATCCTGGAAACTCGGGTTCGTGAAAGCGGGGCCCAAATCTTGAGAAAGAGTCGAAGGCATGCCAGGCGAATCCTGGAAACTCGGGTTCGTGAAAGCGGGGCCCAAATCTTGAGAAAGAGTCGAAGGCATGCCAGGCGAATCCTGGAAACTCGGGTTCGTGAAAGCGGGGCCCAAATCTTGAGAAAGAGTCGAAGGCATGCCAGGCGAATCCTGGAAACTCGGGTTCGTGAAAGCGGGGCCCAAATCTTGAGAAAGAGTCGAAGGCATGCGAGGCGAATCCTGGAAACTCGGGTTCGGGAAAGCGGGGTCCACTGTTTGGTTCCGTTGACACCTGTGCGAAACTACATTCATAATTTATCCGACAGTCGCTTTGATAATGTTTCTTTATCTCGTCTGCGACTCGATAAAGAATTATCAAAGCTCATCAAGAATCACTGCTACCCACCTAGCTACACAGACGTATCGTCAGTGTATCATGGCGGAACTACTTCCGGGATTTGAATTCGGTAAGATATTTTTATTTCTCGATTTACATCTACTTATAAATCACGATGTGGATTATAATTTGGCTCGAAGTTATGGGAGATAGTCTAGTTTGAGAATGTGTCGATGGTTTTAGGTTTGGTATGTTAACGATATGCTAAACTTAAAAAATAAACCAATTTTGACTGTCTAACCAGGTTAAAAGGATGAATATATTATGTTTTTATATTATTTTACCATTCGTTTCTATGAGAATTAAAATTTTGAAATGCATCTTTCCCTGAACCACTTTCATGCATGTATGAGTTCATTGCTCGCTCATCTATCAACCAATTTTCTTGATTTTGTCGGCAAAAAACAAGTGAGGATGATCGCTATGCATCGGTGTGAATTATCACTTCAAATGATAAGTGTGACCTCTTAAAGCTAGTTTTGAATAAATTCACGATATTTTGATCAAAAACATTTTTGAAATTAATGAAAAGTTTCACATTTCACACTTTGATAACATTGGATAAGACAATATAACAATATAAGCCAAAGAGGTTTAAAATTTATATGGGGCCTTTAACTGATTACAACAATTTTACACCCACTGGAAAGACTATTTGACTTCTAACAAACGGCGGATTATCGAAAACAAACGGCGATTTTGGACACTCGCCCCCTGCAATTGAAAGCCCAGCAGACAGGACCTTTAATGAGCTCGATCATTAAAATCTAAGCATCAAAACAGTGTTGACATAACATTCCGAAGTATAATTTTAGTCCTACTGCTTGCCTCTCCAAAGTAGTCTGAATTTATTGTAACTGATAATCATATCCATAGCGACAATAGACATGACAGTTGTCGTCTGTCTAAGTTCCCTCCTCATTCTGGCACCGTTTCGGCACCGAAACCTTTCGGCACCAAAATTTGGCATCGGACTAGTCAGTACATTTGGTGCCGAAACGGCACCAAAATTTGACACCAAAACGGCGTCGAACATCAGATTGCATTTTGGGGGTATATGTCAATAGGCTCTTTGGTTAGATCCAAGAAATAAAAAATATGTCCATTTAAAACCTCGTACTGTTTCAGACCATAATTCAATTTCAAATACATGTATATTAAAACTTACCGATTGTTTTTTGATTCCATGTTTCTGCCAAATCGTTATCAACTTATACGAGCTTCGCCTTATATACGTGGCTTGGCCAAACCATACTGCAATCGATCCTGTAGTTTTGCGCAATTTGGCACAAATAACAAGGACTATGCATTCATATTCAATATTTTAATGGGCCAACCCAGTCCATCGAAAATGCAACATCTTGTATTAGGGAATGCATTGTAAGTTGGCTAAACTTTCAGAGGATACGATTGTAAACTCACTTGGGACGGAGGAGGCGAATCTTCCTTATACAGCAGATCTGTATTGATCACAATCGCCCTGCATGGGTTCCCATGCAAGAACTTAGATTTGGGTAAAAACATTCGTATTTATACTATTATGTAAACATACATTTTTGCATTTTCTTGCATCGTGATGTTAGTTTTAAGTTATTCCAACTTCACTCTCCATTTTATATTTATTACTGTGTCTCTATAAGGCCTAAATTCAAGGATTTCCACGTGTTCTGAATTAGTGATGGTAAATTGATTAATTTTAGGATGAAGCTTTGTATGAACTGATTGACTTGCACTAAACTAACTATATATATACTATATATATATATATAAAAAAACTAAGCAAACTATTTTTCACTTGGCCCCCTTTAAGGTCAATCCTCCTATCATATATTTGTAGACAAATAGAAATGAGTCTCAACAAACCATTTGTGCCCCCGACCACTGTTGTGAAGTATTGCGTTTTATGGATAGGATATGGAATTTGACCATTGACACTTATGAACATCGAGACTAAACCAGTTTTCTGTCCCCTCTTACAAATCCTATTTTGGCAATAAACGTATTCGGACAATTGTTGCGAACAATTTTCTCTGGTCACACCCGATCGCTCAAAATAGTTTTGGTCACTTCTTGTCACGTCTTTAGTTATTTGTATAACCTGATTTTTACAGTTCACACCTTAAAGTGAATATGATTTTATTCAAAACCATGAGTGCGATAATAGTTTTCGATATATCGCGCCACCTACTGCGCAATCTACTTGCCGATAACCAGTTTTATGGAACACAAATTCAATCACTCTGTAGAGAAATAGAATTGGTCAACCAAATTACCAAAGGGGATTTCGATTTTAAATTTCAAATTGTCTAGTACCTAGCGAGTTGACCCGATCTATAATGATAATTGTATACACAAGTGCCAAAAGGAAAGGAAAGGACCAAAATAGTTACAAACACAGTAGGAAGGATTGGCTCCCAGCCCTACCGACTCGATATTAGACCTTGACCTTGATCGAAGACTGGCTTCCAATCCTCCTTTTTTCAACCATTAATGCCATAGCCGGGATTCACCTAAAAGGTGTCAAGTGAACATATTGTAAGTTCGGTGCAAATTAAAAAAACCAACACCCCGAGAATGGCAAATTGCAAAACCTGCATAACCTTGGGCTAGGATTTAGAACTTATGACTCATTCTTCTCAGTAAAACCTAGAAAGTGTTTATTAGGTTTTTACTTGCATAACCTTGGGCTAGGAATTTACTCACTAAATCATTACTTTAAAATCTAAATATTTTGAGCATGCCATGCCCTGTTATATCTAATATAAGTTATTGAATGATTTGAAGTGCAATGAAGTATATATTCTGTTCGAGAAATTCTGTATTTGCACGAGACGAAGTCGAGTGCAACTATACAGAATATCGAGAACAGAATATACACTGTATTTTACTTTAAATTATTCTATAACGTTTTTATCGTGTGATCTTAGGCCAATACATTTTACTTAGGATATAATCCATAGGAAATGTTTATTCTCTGTATTGCTACTGAGATTTCCACTACGTATATGTTTTTCTAACGGTTGATCGAAGAGAATTAGTTTGAAAATATTCTAAAGCTTCGATCAAGGGAATGTAGACAGATTTTTGAATTTAGCGATACTTGTTTGAAACCGAGGCAGAATTTGTTTCAGTGACGTATATATTATTTAGCTGGGCTATTATTGGTTCTGGTATGGCCAAGGTGTTTTTGATCACTTCGGCTTTATCTGCGGACCTACACACAGTTCACTAAATTTACCAGATATGATGATTAAGTTTTCTCAAGAATAGTTTAAACGTTGTTCAAATCCTATCATTTTATTCTAAGTTAGATTAGTTAGTTAGTTTCAGTCAGATTTTCTAACTCTTGTAAAGCGCTAGTTTTATAATGTTTCTTTACAGTTTATGAACTCTGAAGCCTGCATCAAGTCAGTTTCAGCTTAGGATGTAGGTAGACCTCCTATTTGTTTTCAAAGAAGAAACATTTAGGTACTTCTTCACACTCTGTAGGAGGGGTCTCCGAGAAACTGGCACGAGTTCAAGGTTATAATACAATATCATGTGAACAGTGAGTCAGGTTTAGAGAATTCATTCAAATCTGCATATTAGACATGGTTACATATTTTACGAAACTTAGAGTGTTTCTGGCACACGTATTGTGTCATGTCATCAAACATATTAGTTCCTATGAAATGTATATTGTTGACTCTCAAGTCACGACAATTGCAAGATGCATTTGGTCGAGAATCTCTGATAGAGATTAGTTAAGAGTGTTTAGCGGAATCAATTGGTGAATGATCTTGCGTTTTCATACTAAAGTTTGTTTTTGAGTTTTTTCTTATAGTTTTATGTATTTAAAGATATTTAAGAGACAGGGCCCTTTTTCTAAAGCCCTTTTTAGAAAAATAATTGAGATTACACAGGATGCCTGTTATTTCTGCTTTTGAACACAATTTTAATAGAAAATTCAAATTCCAAACTCCCTGTCTCACTATAATTCACCAATGGAGAATGGGAATTGAGCAACCAAACTTGGCACAAAGTTAGATCCTAGGATAAACTCTAATCTTAGGGCTTTGATTTTTTAAGATATCATATATTTGCCTAGCAACCACATAGCAACCGCCTAAAATAACATATTTTACAATATAAATCCACTTTATATATGCTAGGATCCTTTAAGACCATTACAAAAAAGTATTCTTATCCTAAAGTACAACAACTTTAACATATTTACAGAAGTGACACCACCATGTTACATAGCAACAACATGGCAACAGGTTACATTGCCCATTTTGACATTTGCAGACCATATATCTATTATATGTTCACTGCTTTTGGATCTCTTCCACATTATTTCTTAACATAAAGAAAATGTATCGATGCAGTTATGTCTAACCATTTTCCCTAGCAACGGCTTGAAATTAAGGTTAAATTTGCCTAGCAACGACCTAGCAACATCTTAAAATAGCAATGTTTCTCATAAGAATTTCACTATTTATCCACTATATGTACTTGAAGAAAATCAATATATATGTCTTTTGTAATTTATAAAGCTTTATAGTTACTCACTTAAAAATCTTTAGTCTCTTGTGTAAAGCATGATGGGACATGTCTTGTCTTACGCATATCAAATTGCAATTCATGTTTCAGTTCTGAGATAAAGTAAACACGAAATATTCATCACATTGATACTTGATACATTTTCAGCATTGATACCACTAAGATAATACTTTATTTTGGTGAATTGCTTTAATTTCCTTTGCAGGTGCATAGTTCGATGCAGTAGAATGCACCATGGCATTTGCGGTTCACATTGCAGTCACATTTGGTACATCCACATTTAATTATGACTTTACATGCCTCAGATGCTTGCAACAGTATTTTCCATCTGGGTACGCAATCCTGATGCGTTCCTAAACCATCCCAATAGACTTGGTGAAGGAAGAACTGGATCCACTATATACCATTGCCCCCATACATGTGCTTCTTGTCAAAAGGGCACCTGTAAGATCATAACATAAGTTCCATTGCTTGAAAACTGTCACCTTGCTATGATGGTAAAATCCAGATAAAATAATAAATCAATGTGTGCAGGGTGATACAGGCACAAAATACTTCATGAATTATGCGTATCAGTTCCAGTAAGGGCGTGGAACATTGGCAGCGTAGTACTCAAGCAAATTCATAAATTGGAATGTAGGGTTAGTTTTGCCTTTTGAAAATGCTATGTAGATCTCAATCTGTAGCTCAGAGGCACAGGCTATTAGGCTATCACAACCTTACTGTCCACCAATCTTATCATAAATGTCCTGCAACCTTTTCCGATACCTTTAGACACATCCAAAAACATATTTGTATCTGCCTCTTCCTTGGAGCAGGGACTATTATGGCACAATTAGCAGGATTACTGATGCGCTCTCCTTCAATGGTTGAGACAAAGATTCTATCGTCTGCAATAATATGTCTTGTAACAGTTGCTAGAAGTGCAAGAAACTCTATCTTGTTGTCATTGTTTCTGAGAAATCCTATCCTAACACCAAACTACCAAGCAATTGGCAAGACTTTCTTGAAAGATAGAGCTCTTTGCACAATTCCTACATCCTTCACCATCTAAAGTGGTAAAACTTGAAACTTTGAAATTAATGACTTGTATGTTTCAGCAAAGCCTAGATAGGATTTTAAGCTTTTAACAAGTATAACCTTGACCTAACGATTTAATCAGTAAAATATGGTGTCTTGATTTAAAATCTATATACTATCTAGTATTTTGAACACGCCCTGCTGGGATACAGAAACCCCATATGCTGGGTTCAGTGGAATATTACTATCCAAATGTGGAAAATTAACAATGTCATGAGGCAGATACATATATGTTTTTGCATGTGTCTCATGGTGTCGGAAAAGGTTGCAGGACATTTATATACTGGAACTGATACCACATCTGGACTTCATCTGGACCATCAGAGCAAGGTGACAGTTTTCAAGCAATGGAACTTATGTAATGATCTAACAGGTGTCCTTTTGACTCTAGCAGATCGCCCATCAACCGTAACAATAGAAGTTATGGGCACAATTATCCTGGTTCATTATCCTGGTTTACCAGCCTACAAACAGTGAGACAAATCTCAATACCATGCGTAGGCACATGTTCACTCATGACAGATGGATCCCGATACTGTAGAGTACCTCCAACATGCGATGCAGCACTCCAAGGAGCACATGTATGGGGGCAATGGTATATAGTGGATTCAGTTCTTCCTTCACCAAACCAATGGGGATGGTTTAGGAGCGCATCAGGATTGTGCTTACCCAGATGGACAATACTGTTGCAAGCATCCGAGGCATGTAAAGTCATAATTAAATGTGGATGCACCAAATGTGACTGCAAAGGGAACTGCAAATGCCATGGTGCATTCTACTGCACTGAAACTATGCAACTGCAAAGGAAATTGTAGCAATTAATCCAAATAAAGTATTATCTTAAGGGTGAAAATGTGACAAGGATAAATATGATGAATATTTTGGGTTTACTTTATCTCAGAACTGAAACATGAATTGCAGGACTTTTGCAATTTGATAATCATAAGACAAGAAATGTCCCATCATGCTTTACACAAGAGACTACAGATTTTTTAAGTGTGCAGCAACAAAGCTTTATAAAATAAAAGACATGCATATTCATTTTCTTCAAGTAAATAATAGTGGATATATAGTGAGATTTTTATGAGAAACATTGCTATTTTAAACTGTTGCTAGGTCATTGCTAGGCAAATTTAACCATTATTTAAAGCCGTTGCTAGGAAGTTGCTAGGGAAAATAGTCAGGCATAGCTGCATCATTTATGCTTAAATACAATTTCTGTATGTTAAGAAATAATGTGGAAGGGATCCAAAAGCGTACAAGTGAGTATATAATAGGAATATAGTGTGCAAATGTCAAAATAGGCATTGTAACCTGTTGCCATGTTGTTGCTATGCAACATGATGATGTCACTTTTGAAAATATGTTTGAATTGTTGTATTTTAGGATAAGAAGACTTTTTGTAATGGTCTTATAGCATCCTAGCATATATTCAGAGAATATATATTTTAAAATATGTTATTTTAGATGGTTGCTATGTGGTTGCTAGGCAAATATATGATTTCACAAAAGATCAAACCTCTCAGATTAAAGCTTATCTTAGGGTCCAACTGTGTGCCAAGTTTGGTTGCTCAACTTTCATTTTCCATTGGTGAATTATAGTGAGATAAGGATCGAGTTTGAAATTTGAATTCTGTTAACATTGTGTTAAAAAGCAGTAATAATGGGTATCCTCTGTAATCTTAATTATTTTTCTAAAAAGGGCTTTAGAAAAAGGGCCCTGTCTCTAAAATGTCTTGAAATACATAGAACAATAAGAAAAAACTCCAAAACGAACTTTAGTATGAAAACGCAAGGTCCCTATGGGGGCCTTGCACCAATTGATTCCACTAGTTGTGTTTTTGTGATGTATAGTTTTTCTGTTGCAATAAACGGGTCGCGCACAAGCCATCCAATTGTAATCCAGGTGTTATGTAAGGTCTTGTAAATGGAGTTGCATTGCTTTAACAATACTTTTTGTATTGCATATAGAGATGATCAATGGGGACAATCTCAGTAGCAATACAGATTAGTGCAGCACAAGAACTGACCAATCAAAGGGCTTCATTTTACAGATTATACGATAAGTTTAGATTATTGTGTCACTTTGTGTCTGCAAATACAATGTGATCTTATCAAATGCTCATTTGATTAAAAAGGAACAGATGTTAATAGTGTATCCATCCCTGGGAGCGATATCACACCTTTGGTAAAAAGAGCTCTACCAACTCTAATTTTAGGGATTTGATATTGTTCAAGTATATACTGTATTGCATGTGGTGCTTGCTCCGTCACGTACATCTGAATATTTGAATTTTTAGGTAATCGTTGAACCATTTCGTAAAATAGCGAATTCGCCATAGCATTTGTGTTCGCCATAAACGGTGCAACAAGGAAAACATCAGTTATCTTTCGAACTATCAAATATCCACAAATGTTTTCATCCATATTTGCTATAAGAATAAAGTCAGAATCCCTGCGTATACACTCCAACAGAAATTGTTCCCTATGATATCCTTTGTACCCTGTTATAGCCTCATCGTATGCAATGACCTTGTCCATATGGCACAAGTTCCCGACACTGATTTGGCCATCTTGGAATATTGGCCTCAGATTGACTGCCTTGTTAACGATTCCACGGTATACACCAAAAGCACATCCTTCATGTTGGAATCCACACTTATCCCAAAATCCTATTGCGCTGTCGTAAGAGTTAACCATAATATTGCGGTCTCCTAGGCATTTTTTAGAAGCAGCTATAAGCTGTTTTCCAATGCCACGGTTTTCCATATCATTTCTTATGATTACTTTCGTTCCAACACCGAGATATGGATTCAGGGCACACCATATTGATAAGCCTGGAACATACAACAATGTTGCCATATATATAATGCAATGTTGTCAGGGTGACTTTTATATATAATAATTAAGCCACGCCACAGGAAAGGGGTTATATCAACGATTTTTCGATATTTTGATTTTCTGTTTATCTAGGCAAAAAAGATCTCTCAAATGAGACATGACTTATGTCTTAACGATTTTCCTTGCATATATAGACCAAAAAGTCGGATTTTAATTTAGCACATTTTCTTTTTAATCGTGGGCATATTTTTGGCTCTGCAGCACAATTTAATTTTTTTTGATAAGACCGGTTTTCCTATGGCCAGGCTCAATTATCATGTAATGGAATTTTGCGGAAGTACACGTTCGATGGAGGCGTTATTATATTAAACTTTTGGTCGGTTCTGTTTGTAGGTCACCTTATACAAAAAGAGGGTCATATGGAGAGGGGACCACAAAGCCCCTTGTGACCGTCATTTCTTAAACAAGTGATATACTATATACCTACCTAAAGGTCTATCGCTGTTGTCAACTGCAACAAACACACCATTGTGATACACTCGAAGATATATCTATAAAAGATTGAGAACAATGTTTTCTCATAAAGATGACACCAGTAGAAAATGATGCCAATAGTAGAATAATTGTATTTTTTCAGCTTTATTAGAAGCAAACTAAATATGCATACCTGTCTTACATTGGTTTAGTCTTAAATCCAATTTTTGAAAAATATAATGGCAATTTTTGAGCTTTTCTTTGATATGATGGGGATAGTATGAAAGGGGATTTTAGACACTATTTTGTCTATAGTGGATTACAATTTACGATAGTTAGGCTTTATTTTCACATATACTGTCAAGGTAAATTGCTCAAATACTTAAAATAGTGAGGGGCCGGAACAACTAGACTTTTTGAATGAACTGACTATTCAATAGAGGTTGGTTACAGTATATTGTATATTCTTACCTCAAGTAGTTCCTTATCTGTCAGTCTATTGCTCTCACGCATCCATTTAGCTGTTTCTGCCAGGTCCTCGACACGAGCAGGGCGAATCCTAATTACTTCCATTACTGTTCTAACACAGGTCGCTATTCAAACGATAGACATATGATTAAAAAGAATGATGTAATAAAGTCCGAGTCAGGTTGCTCCAGTATATATTCTCTGTTGTGTAATACTTGACATAACTGTATTATGGTTTGCTTAAGATAACATATAACCTGCAAGTTTGAATCCTCTAAATTAATGTGCTTCGAGCTGGGTCGTATACAGGATCAAAAACTTTGCGGGGCAACTTTTAGGATATATGTTAATGTTGGTGAGACAGATCCCTCACCTGCTTCATGTCTGACTTCGCCTATGTAAGGTGGGTGAAGAAAAGTCATTTCTTAAACAAGTGATAAACTATACCTACTGTATCTAATAGTCTATCGCTGTTGTCAACTGCAACAAAAACACCATTGTGATACACTCCAAGATATATCTATAAAAGGTTGAGAATAATGATTATAACTCATCGAAATGATTACATCAGAGACGAAAATAAGCCGTAACTCCTGTTATTTTCATTCTGGTGTGCACATTATGGTAAGAAGGCATATGGGGCCTTAATTGAAGGGTGTTCTCTCTGTTATGAATTGTGGTGGGACTTGGCCAGTATAAGTACAAAAACGTCATTTCTGCGGGCAATATAGTGAAATATTGGACCGAAGGCCCAAGGTCCAATATTTCACTATATTGCCCGCAGAAATGACGTTATTAGTATTATTACCACCGTTAATGAACAGGACTGAAACAGAGAGAAAATCTTACGCACTGAACGATAACCAGTAAATTCCCGAGGAAAATTGCCGGTCATTAATTGCATTCTTGACCGGCAATATTGACCGGCACTATGACGTCACATATTCCTCAGGTCGATAAAGTAAAATGAATGCCTTCTAAACTAGCACTTAAACCCCTAGAACTGGCCCGGAAAGGTGGTTATAAATAAGGGTTATGTACTGGGAGGTTTTGGATATGGGGGTTTATCCAGAGGGAGATATGCATATCTACATGAGGGACCGTAGAGACCGAAGGTAGATGTGCATATCTCACGAGAGACGAACCCAATATCCAAACCGACCGTACATAACTGCTTTATCCTATACCAAGTAGAATTTTCAGGGGCATATGGCCATTTCAATAGTACAAGGTGTTAAAATAAACAAACCATTCATATGCAAAGTCATTTAATTAATCATTTTAAATACATTGATAACTTTTTGAAATACAAAAGTGTTGTTTAACAATGTAACAAAAGGATAAATGTATCCAAAACCGCCTTTGCATAACAGATGTATTTCATACCTACTGAGGTTCTACATGTATGTACATCATACCTTATAAAGATTCCAAAACATACTTTAGGTACGCGTTTTCTTGGTCTTAGTTTGCGAGATTTTCAAAATTTTGAAAAAATGAAATTGAAAAAAATTTTGAAAAATAAATTTTGAAAAAAGAATTTGTAAAAAAAATTTTGAAAAAAGATTTTGAAAAAAAGTTTTCAAATTTAAAAAAAAAATGTGAAGTGAAATTACCGGAAGCGGGAAGACATGCACCGAAGCGGGAGATATGGCGGGAGATATGGAGGTTCTGGATATGGAAACCTCAAAATCAGGATACTGGATATATCTTACCAGCTTATCTCCCTTAAACTCTACTTAAGCATAGGATAATAAGTATCATTTCATCATAACAGTAATTATATATTGAACGGTAAACAGTAGTTGATACGTGAAAATACTTGGCACAAACGATAATAATGTCAATGTGTGGCCAGGACAGAGTCGAGACATACATGTATAACAAAATTTAAGATATTATATTATCGAATTTATGTATATGTTCATGGTTTTAGTTAGTTTCTTTATTTCAAGATTGAAAACACTGGCAGAAAGCCGCGTTAATTTAAACAGTGCACTACATAGCCGGTCCTTTGATAATAGGACGACAATGATACTAAACGAATGAAATCAGTAAAATAACCCAATAAACTTTAAACGAGAGTCGTTCAATAAATACTGATACAAGTGGTCTCATTTTCTTAAACGAGAGTCGTTCAATTAATGCTATTACAAATGGTCTCATTTTCCTCAACGAGGGTCGTCCAATAAGTACTAATACAGATGGTCTCATTTTCTTATTGAATCGAGATGACAGTTTGGTGATACTAGTAATTTGATATATAAAATCATGAGTAATGGAGGTTGACATCTTGGCATGAGACTAAATCATTTTGTCTGTCCTCTGATACCAATAAACGTAAATTTTATCAACATATAGTTGGCATTTGTTACGAACAATTTGCTCCGGTCATACCCGATCGATTAAATTTTTGGCTCACTTCTTTTTAAGTAGTCGGTTTTCGTACTTATGTTCAGCTCAAAAGTTAAACTTTTGATTTTAAATAAACCATAAACGTTATGGTTTTCAATACCTAACGTGTCCCAGCTGACAAAACTTCTAATAATATCATTGTAATCTGTAAGTTGTAAATTCTAAGTCGTTTTGGTATATGATGGCTGAATTAGACAGCAAATGATTATCTTTAAGTTGGCAATGCAACTAGTAATAACACATAATTAAGGTAAATTGCTCAAATACTTAAAGGGGTATTCCTTGCCAGACCATCTCTCTCCTAATATGGTAGCTATAACCATATACATACTTTGCAAGTTTATCAAAAAACAGAAAAATGTTTTGAAATGGTCAATATTGATTACTTAAAAATGTAGTGCTCAATTCCAGTAGGCTGCCATCTTTTAAAATTTCACTCAGGATGTGATGTCATCGACTCTCAACTTTGCATATAACATTAGGTAAGGAGCTATTAGAATTACTAAACCAGCTGAATATTTTTTTCAACTTGGTCTATGATTAAAATCTTCTTTAGTTCTAAGTTGACAACTCCTGAAAATATTTTTTACACAGAAGACAAGGGCTTCTTGTTTAGAAGTGATTTTGTACTTCTTTCCTATACTGTAATAGACAAGGTTATTACATGATGATGTGAGAGTCGATGACATCTCTTCCTGAAAGAAATCTGAAAAGATGGCAGCTTACTGGGAACTAGGATGAAGTCTTCATCCTAGCTGGGAAATAGTACTACATTTTTAAATGATCAATATTGACTATATGAAAACATTTTCCCGTGTTTTGCTAAATATGTAAAGTATATATATGATTGTAGCTACCATATCAGGAGAGAAATAGTCTGGCAAGGAATGTTCCTTTAAAATAGTGAGGGAACACCGGGTACCTTTTATGGAGGAAATAAAGGTAATACATACATTCGGTTGCTCTCACGCATCCACCCTGGCAGCCATTTTTGCTAGGTTTCCTACACGTGCAGGGCAAATCTTCACTTCCATTACTGACTATTACGTGCTTTCAGATTTATTCGTTTTCGTTTCTACTAGTATAATAAGACTTTAATATAAGCTACTACACCACTCATTGTACATAAACATATCCCAGTTTTGTAAAAATCACCATTACTTTTTGAAAGCAGTGTAATTTATGTTTTGATCACAGGCACAGCACGAAATATACATATTTTCCACAACTAATGTACTCCCCACGACTAGTTCACAAAACATGTCAAAAACGCTGACTATTAATATTATCGTAATTTAAATGACACGAGTATGTTTTTAGCAAAGTATACTTTATTCAGGTCAGTTTTATACATCACTATCATCAGATCAGTGTTATTTCTATAAAGTTTCATAAAACAACTTCAGATAGAACGTGGATAACATTGCAAAACTCAATTTTAAAGCTGGTATGAATATACAACGCCCGTCAGAAGAATAAAAGTGCTACATAATTATAAGGCTTTTACTAAGCATAACAAGTGTACTAGCTAGCATCTCACCTTTACAAAATGAAATTTATGTAATAAACACAACAAATAAAGTTCAAGCATCACAGAGAACAATCATCGAGAGCAGCCACTATTTTCTTATCTACCAAGTGGTACATGACAATCCCCACTTCGTTGATCATAGGACCCTTTCAGTACCACATTGATCTCAGTACCACACTGATCACAGCACCACACTGACCACAGCACCACATTGATCACAGCACCACATTGATCAGTACCATACTGTATATTATAAAGTAACAGGCATAAACATTGAATAGTCAAAGTTGTAAGTTTAAAATGACTTGGATTGGCAGTTTTCTGGGTACTGTCTGCATGAATACTGTTCTTCCTGCGCCTAATATAGGCATTTCCATGTATATTCCTCATTGTGCAAAATGTAACCCCTTATATACTTTTGGTATTTCCATATGCAGCCATATATTCCAACGTTATACAGAATGAATTTGTCTCTAATGCTATATTTTTCTGTTAGTGTCTTCTCTTAACTTCATATGAGTTCTTCTGTTAGTGTCTTCTCTTAACTTCCTATGAGTTCTTCTGAGGAATCTTTGCAATCACCTTTAAATATAAAATAAATATAAACATTTAAATACACATAAGCCTATATAAACAATGATTAATTCAGTGATAAGAATTCCCATTTATTTCTAGATAGAATATGACTCACGGTTTTGACCTGTATATACTCCTCAATACCATAGCTCCCTCTAAAATTAAAAAATATGCAAAATGTATAGTACCATTATAATAGAATGGATTTTAGATCTTAGGGGAATAATAGTTTTCACCTAACATAAGCTCAAACGTCTCATTCATGTTTCTGAAAAGTTCAACAACCCTACTTTATTTCAGGACAATCCTTGGTAAAAAGATTATCTTGCGAGATAAGTTAATGTACTTACTGCTCTCGACCGACGCCAGACATCTTAAAACCACCAAAAGGAGCGTGAGGCCCACCTCCATTCATGTAGGTGTTTATCCTGTATAATTTTAACACAATAACTTACATTGAGAGAAGCAACAGACTAATCAATAATTCACATACTGTTATGTCATGTGTATATACTCCCGGGATATACTATACTGGATGTTGGTGATTATAATTTCCAACCAACCAATTTTGATATCCATGTATGCTTGATTCTTGAATAGTAAGAGACTGTGCCACATTAGGACTACATCTTAAATTATTACAAGTTAAATTGTTACAAGACCACTTTTTTGTTGACATGGTAACAGATATTGGTACCAATGTGTTTGAACTCATTATGTGTGTATATATGTTGACAGTAAATTGAACTGAAGTCAGTCTTGTTCTTGTTTAGCTATTAGAAGTTTTAAGAATTTATAACAAACGCGGAACGCCAAATAACAACCACGTCCACAAAATAGATGAAGACTTTAACAATATATCAGCACTGCTGGAGTTGACATAAAAACATAGTTAGAAGAAGTGACATTTGGGTGTACAACAGGAAAGGAAACACCCCCACCTCCCACCGCTTTCAGAACCATTTTCACAATCTACAACTACAAAACGTTGGAAATTGCATTCATACTGAAGTCATAGGGAATATTTCAATGCAAAATATACTGATTGGTATTTTGAGCTTACCAGACAGTTCCCGCCTGCATGGCGTTTGCTATTGTAAGTGCCTTGTCAATATCCTTGGTAAACACTCCAGATGCTAACCCATACGTTGTCTTGTTAGCTCTTTTGATAACTTCATTTATATCCTTGAACTTTATGATCTGCTGCACTGGCCCGAATATCTAAAACAGTACCTGAGTTTTAACTACTACTTATTCTTCTTTTAAAATTTACAAAAAAACTTTGGTATTCTCTTAGAGACGATCCACATTGATGAAATTGCCACATTAGGTATTACTTAAAATTAAATTACTTGAGTTTTAACTACTACTCAATTAAAATAGTATAGCTTTTTGAAGATAGTAGTATGGAACGATGAAAATTTAATAGTTCAAAGATATACTAAATTTAAGTTTTGTAAAAACAAATTACCTCTTCCTTTGCTATTCTCATGTCATCACTGACATTAGAAAATACAGTATTCTGGATGAAGTAACCTTTGTCATCATGTACTCCACCACCACACTCAAGTTTAGCACCATCTGTCTTTCCACTCTCAATGAGAGCAAGGATCTTCTTGTACTGCTCTTCATCTATCTGAAATGAGTCAATTAAAGTTGTTAAAGTAATCATATTTAACCATTCATTGGATATTAAGTGAACAATTCTTTTGTATATGTTGTAAGGGTCTTGAGTATATGTGCTTCTGACACTAAAGTCATCTTAGAAACAGAACGTTTTGCTTTTTCAACACGTTATTGTAAAACCTTCCATACAATATTGAGATATACCTGTGGTCCAGATTCTGTGTCCAAATCAAATGGATTACCAATTTTCCTGCTTTTTGCTCTGTCCACACTTTTCTTGACAAACTCATCGTAAATACCTTCTTGTACGTACGTTCTGGAGCCAGCACAGCACACCTGTCCCATGTTGTAGAACTGGGCAGTGTGACTCTCCTCCACCGCATAATCCACTAGAAAGTAAGACCTTCATGGTTACCGTAATTGGGATACTTAAGTTTACATGTGCATTTGTTCATGAAGGAGTTGAATGTGTACATGGATAAATAAACACAGGGAATCGTTCATTCTACAGATCTTCAAAAATATTAAAAAAATTAAATCATCCTTTCAAACATGTTTTACTTATTAGTAATCATATAGTTTTCACTAATGTGATGTGCAGAACTTTTTATCAAAATACGAGTAGGCTACAAGTTTTGTAGTTAAATACTTAGAAATCTACACCCCGTCTACGACTGTTTCATTAATAATTGTTAAGTCTGGTATTATTCATATACCCAGATTTGGACGATGTTAACATAAACTTTAAACATTAATATTTAACTATGATAGGGGAGAAGTGAGTCCGTTTTACTCATTTTATCAAGGATTACCTTCTCCCTAATGAAAACGTTAATTCTTAAATATGTGAAGTGCCAGTAAGCCACAAGCGTTCAAAGAATAACTAGAGAAGTTAGAGTGCTTACAGTCACAGTCAGCAAAGACAATATTGGGACTCTTCCCCCCACATTCCAAGGCAACTCCCTTCAGGTTAGACATGCCAGCTGCTTGCATGATCAAATGGCCGACCTAATACAAACAGAAATGAACAAGAGGACAAACGTGAACGACATGTTCCTACCATTTGGTTATCCTGTATATAGATTCAAGAACACATACAAGAATGACAAATTGACTTTTGTAATATATAACCATGGTAGTTCTTATTTATATACAATGTGGAAAATATACATCAATTTAATTTAAGGCTTGCTGAATTTTAAATGAATTATTTTTATAAGATTCATAACTAAGAATAATACAAACACAATTACCAAATAGTGAGCTTCGAAAAAAAGGAATTTGATTTAAACTCTGCTCGTTCTCACTACTCCTAATTTATTAAAAGTCAATCCAATGATACTAGCAACTGACACAGATATATTTTACCTCTGTTGATCCAGTGAACGAGATTTTATCTACGTCCATATGTTCAGCAAGTGCCGCTCCTGCCGTTGGGCCATAGCCGGGTACTATGTTCACTACCCCTGGGGGAAACCCTGCCTGAAATATATATACACTTTCCAGTTGACAAAAAGCAATCGTAATACCTTTTACACGTACGTCAGATGAAATAATGCAAATATATCAGGTACAAATTTGAAAATGACCATACTGTGTCAGTTGCTGCAGCCATGTATATTACTGTAGTACTATTGTAATACATACATACGCATCTCTATACGTCCATAAGTGTGATATTCTTAGGTATAGACGACGATTTATAAGAATATCACACTTATGGACGTATAGAGCTACACAATAAATGATGACATAATCAAATGCTTCATATGAATATTAATCATGCTATAAGTGAGTTACGAAATCTATCTATTAGCATGCAATATAAACGTAAGGTGCAGTATCAGTTCCAAGTAAATGATGATATTGTGTCAGTAGTCCTACCTCTTTGATGAGTGACGCCATGTAAAGAGTTGTCAGAGGAGTTTGTTCTGCAGGCTTTATGACTGAGCAACATCCGGCTGCTAGTATGGGTCCCAACTTCTGTGTCAGAATGAAGACGGGGAAGTTCCACTGAAAGCATAAATAACATCTAGATCAGTTGCAAATTGAACATAATTGGCCTTTAAACAGGAGGTTTATTTTGTTTCTATTGTACGATTGTACGTTCAATGGACTAAAAACTGAAACTAAGAGCTACTTTGTTCAATTTGTATATAGACGCTCTACTATACCTAACCCCTAGAAACTCATAAGATACTCTGTTTGTCCAATTGTATTGTTTAGCATATATTTTTGAAAGTACCTTATTAACATCTAACTTTCAACCGATAAACCATTAATAAGGAACAGACAAATAAAAACTAATAAGATAATTATTACTAATAAGCCAAATGGGTTGCTCATGAACACCAAATGCAAGGTATAGTAGAGTGATAGACTGGTATACATTGTAAAACTTACAGGAATAATAGCTCCAACAACTCCAATGGGTTCGTGACGAGTGTAACAGAAAAAGTTCCCATCTGAAATAAAACGTACGAGCTCGTATGACCTATATTGATCCACAGCTTTGAACGTTGGATTAAGGATACATATCTAATGTAAAACGCACGAGCTCGTATGACCTATATTGGTCCACAGCTTTGAACGCTGGATTAAGGATACATGTCTTACATATAGTATTCAATAGCAACAACAAGCAAATGCTAGTAAGGCAAAATGATAAAATAAAGAACAGTATATACATTACCAACTGGGATAGTTTGTCCCACAATTTTGTCAGCCCATCCTGCGTAATAACGCAGCTCTTGAACAGCGCATTTACCATCATCGTATGCATCCACAAATGGCTTCCCATTGTCCAAGGTTTCAAGGCTCTAGACAGCATAGTAGAAGAGGGAAAAACGATTAAGAATACAGATGTCTGTAAAATCCTGATGGTACAGTGTAGCAAAGACGTTTTTCTTTCAAACATTGTTTGAAAAACAATAATTTTAACAAGGCAATAACATGCAGAATGTCACCACCCATCTCCGTACGCTGTTACAGACACCGACCACCGATCATCAACCGCCAAACACCGGCCACAAAAAAGAACATTACAATATGTCAACCCTTCTGATGGCGACATAAAAACTGTGCCGAGAAAGTAGGGATGCAGAACCTCACATTTTCAAATATATGATCATATTTAGTACTTGTATGTTTGTATTTTGTTATCTAAGAAGATAAATATTTATTTCAATGCAGCCGGTGCATCAATTATAGTTAAAACTGGAAATGTTCCTATTGCGTTATGTTTTACCGTTATGTAAACCAGATCTCGTTCTAATAGGTCAGCTAGTTTAGCGATAAGTCGTCCTCTTTTGGAAGCATCCAATGTCCGCCAAGCTGATCCAAGCTCAAAGGCTTGACGAGCAGCATTAACAGCTGAAGCAACATCAGCCTAAAATATATGTGACGTTGAAATGATGGCACTGGCGTTCGAGTGAATAAAAAGGTTATTAGACACGATTTTTTCAATTTCTATATAGGAAATGTTACGAGGCAATTTGACAAAAAATGGGTTTACGAAAAAGACCGACCGCCCGCTGTCGGTCTTGTACATAAAGATAAATAGATTAGATTAGAATAGATTAAATTTGGAAAATAAAACTAAAAACTAAGAATCCAATGACTATGGTACCTTTACAACGTCGTGTTTAAAATGTATAAACAATTTTAAATCACGATAAAAAAACGCACATAAAAAACGTAACATCATAACATCGTAATGTCACATTTTTAAGTGACGTCTCGGTTGTTATAGACCGATTTCATTATGGTTAGTCACTTTTGATCATGAGAAAATGCACGTACATAACATATAGTGTTCAAGAATCATTATGACAATAACAAATCGTTTTTAGTAGAAATACGTAATTTTCGTTAAATAAAGGCCTACGTTGAATTTCAGTAAAAGGAAAGATTTACGTAAAAACTTATAGGTTGGCAGGTCAGGAACATAAGTGTTTGTCTTTCATTTTTACTATTTTAACTAACTGAAAAGAACAAATGGGTAAAAAACATGACATGTATATACATGAACGTGTACGTATGGGATAAGACCTACGTGGAAAACACTGCCATTATGAATGTATGTGTAATAAACCATACCTTATCCCCTTCCTGTACGTCAACTATCTTTTCTCTGGTACATGGGTTTATTGTTGGGAACACCTGGCCGCTTACACTGTTCACAAACTCATTGTTGATAAATATCTGGAAATGTTCTGATCATTATGATAGGCCGTTTAATCGAAGAGGCTCAGAATTTTACATGATTATATCTGTAGGCCATCAAAATTAAAATTTTAAAAACTCAATGATTCAATCGAATCTCTCTTTAAGGTACAGCTGGAAAATAACATTTTGGAAAAATTGCTATACCTGCACATGTTATTTTCTGGTACAAAAGAGCGTATGAAGACATGTGTTAATTTCCTTGCTTTTTTCAGGAAAGCATCATTACATTGTCTTCTTTGAGTAAATCTGGTAAGAGGTCAATGGGAATTCCAGGAAATTCTGATATTTCTACTTTCTGTTTTTCCAGATTTTCTTTTAAAGTTTAAGACAACACAGGAGCTATACCATTGACCTGTTTCCAGGTTTACTAAAAGTAGACAATGTAATACTTTCCTGAAAAAAGCAAGTAAATACACACATGCCTTCATACTTAATTATATACCAGAAAATAACATTTGCAGGTATAGCAATTCTTTCCCCAAAATGTTATTTTCCAGCTATACCTTATGCCTTGGTCACATTTGCGCCGATTTTCACTATTTTGTTCAAAATAGAATACAATATTGAACAAAACACTCAATCGCCAGGGCGCCGGGCGATGGATCGGAGCAAATGTGACCAAGGCATTAAAAAGTCGTGGAAGCAATTTCCCAAGCTTATTTGTAATTTCAGTTACTCGGAGGTCCTACCTACCTGTGTGTATTTTATGTCAGGCTTCACGATAGGAATTGGAACAGCCATTGTTGAGAATCCTCTTCTAAATATCACTCCTGAAACATTTGAAACAATTTTATAGGTAACATTGTCGACACCCGGCTGCCAACATCCTGTTCTTTTTCAGCGACGACTGTAAATGATATTCGGGTTACCATTTTTACACGGTTTCGGAAAGGTTTTTCGAAACGGATTGGAGTTCATTATTACCAGCAATATTATTGCAGGGTTTATCAAATAGCAAATATGAAAAATTAATCCAGACCATGGAAAATATTCCTTTCACGTTTCGGCAAATGATTGTCTGAGTGAGTTGAAATACACGAACAGGCGTGTATAGCAGACAAATGAGAGCGCTTTGCTTCATGTTTTAAAAGTGTACGTTGTGATAGATTAATTGGTTTTCAAGTCCTACAGACCTTATTACAATTATGTTTCTATATACCTTCACTCAATCTGGCAAGACTACGACTAAGGGAACATGGGGCAAAACGGCCCTTTGAGGCAAAGTGGTCCATCGAAATATCTTTTGAACTATCATGAAAGAGATGGTTCTTCAAAAGTCACGTTCGAATTTTGAAATTTCCGCTACCTTCTCGACCGCCCTTTTTAACCTAGCAGCGTCTCGCCTTACGTAAGAAGTAATTCTACTTTTCACTCTCTTTTTTGCAAATTACCCCTCCCACGAGAAACTCCAAAAAATCCGGCAACAATCGAATATCGTTTTGAATTAACATTTTACATAGATGCATATTTATTCTTTATTTGTGAAAATTTCGAGTTTCAAATATTACATGTACATGTAGGTAAATTAAAGGGGCAACAAGGCCTGTAGAGAGAAAATAGGAAAATTTTTACTTTTTATGAGCTATCAAGGCAACATTTGGCTTAACATCTTCTTTGACAGACCTATTTTCTTAAAATGTATGTATAAACTATCAATTTCAGCATTAAGAAGTGTAAATTCAGTTCAAAGCTTCAAAAAGGGGAAATCCGCTTTTATATTTTTAAGATCCACCATGTTTTAAGAGGAATATATGCTGAAATAATGTTTATCTAGTGGTTTTTTTGTGGATAATAAAAATAGATGTTAGTCTTGATGAAATATCCAAACTTAAATATATTTTGACACTGGTCCATGATCGTTGAATGACCCCTCTGCACTAATTGTTGCACCTTTAAATTGACGTCTATTTGAAAATTCACCTACATGTCTCTGGGGCAAAACGGCCCAGACAGGTTATAACATACTTTGGAAAATCTTATTGCACAAGAGTAATTGATTTTCAAATATAACGATCCCTCTGACACATATTGAATCACTAGAATTATGGTACGGTTAAAAATACTTTGTCTGTCAAAGGTTTAAACGTCTGAGATAAGATTTGTGTTGACGAGTCTTGTAATTGATTAATCTTGGCGGTCCCGGCCCTGGACCGTAATTACCATCAGTGTCACAATATAGTGTAGCCATTTTTGGGTTTTTATTTTGTGCTACTTTTGGACTTAAAATAAAATTTAAAATGACCAGGCATTTAAAAAACATGCAGTTCAGTTCAGCCTATCTATAGATTTTCATACCTTTTTTGAAAACCAACACAAAAGGCCAAAACTCGTAACACTTTTCCAGAAAATAAACAGAGTCCAGCATATTGATAGATTTTCATACCTTTTTTCAAAACTAACACAAATGGCCAAAAGTAACACTTTTCCAGAAAATAAACTGAGTTCAGCCTATCGATAGATTTTCATACCTTTTTTTCAAAACCAACACAAATGGCGAAAAGTATCACTTTTCCGGAAAATAAACAGACTCTGATTATTTTCTGGAAAAGTGTTACTTTTGGCCATTTGTGTTAGTTTTGAAAAAAGGTATGAAATCCATCGATAGTGTATCGATCTAGTAGGCTGGACTTTGTGCTACTTTTGGCCATTTGTGTTAGTTTTGAAAAAGGGTCAATTTTATGCTAATATATCGTGACATACATGTATATCGTAATTACAATGTATACACGTCCACCGGCGTACAAAACGTGAATACGTTTCCGTAACCGACCGTATTGTACATTTATTGCTATTAGTCTGGGTTGTTCGGTGTTAAGTTCATTCTGACACTATAAATTTGGTTGGTAAAGTCAGTCCAGGGTTCCTGCCAGGGGTTGTTCATGTTGTCAACAATGCGGCCTCGGCGCAGCGTCTGTAGCCTACATCCATGTACTGTAGCCCCCATTGTTTACATAACCGGTTTACGTAGCTAACGTAACCTTTCTCATATTCCTAACGATAGTTCATGTGTCCATACCTGGCCATCCGGCCCTGTCCGGCATCATTGTTTAGGGACTAAGGCCAGTGGCCTTGCTGAAAGTTTAGGGCTACACGTAGGATGCTGACTATCATAGGTTGGCCTATGTCACATTGCAATGCACACATTTTTTTATGAAAACGAAACGTAACTACTCACGGGTACAGCAAATTAAGAACCTCGCTATCATCAATAAACAGTTCGCACGTAAACAACGCCGAGAAATCAAGTGAATTTATTCTGGGGTGTGTCATGATTGTTGTTAGAGCTCTCTAAAAAGGAGGAAGGATTATTTAGAGGAGTTTCCTGAAAATGAAAGAAGTCAACTTTGAGACTCTTCTGCTACTTCTAAAGGTATGTATTTCATGTGCTGACCTTGAAGTAATACTCTTGAAATACTAAACTACGATTTGACAATATGGGTAAGACTAGGTACATCAATACGTGTTAAATTGGAGTTGTACCAGGAAAATAACATTTTGGTAAAAAATTGCAAGAAGATACCTGCACTTATCCCGTGCCAGTCCTGGTTCGGGAAAAACCTGCACATGTTATTTTCTGGTGCAAAAAAAGTATGAAGGCATGTGTCAATTTCCTTGCTTTTTTTAGGAAAGTATCATTACATTGTCTTCTTTTAGGATATCTGGTAGGAGTTCAATGGGAACTCCAGGAAATTCTGAAACAGTATTTCACACCTTCTAGATCTATTTTTCCAAATTTTCTTTCAAAGTTTCCAGAAACGGACGGGGGTGACATTCTATCGAAACTCAGACATTATTGAAACTTGAGGATTGGAAACAAGAAGCATTCAAAAAATGAAGTTACCTTTTTTGTTTCCTGATTCTCACCTTATTAGCTCATGTTGGTGACTGAAACTTGCACAGCTTAATTTGGTCGCTAATTCGCATGCATGTCAACCGGAAGTAAGCAAGAAGGCGCATGCGCATTAGCGAGATCATTCTACTCTTGTAAAAGCCATCTTGAAAATGACCAACTCGATAATATTTTTCGTCAATACATTTACTCTACCCATTGGCTTTCTAATTGAAATTCTACCATTCCGGATAGCGTGATATGGTAAGAAAACGATACTTAAGGATGTTTTACATCAATTGAAGTAGTGTAAGTGTTGTCATTCATGATGTCTTACATTTGTGTCAAAGACCTTTAACATGGACTGGGAATATCAAGATATCCAAAGCCATCTCTCTAAAGGTAGCTTTGTGCAAATAAAGTAACTTGACGCTACGATACATGCTTATCAGAGTACATTTGTATATTTAACAATGAAAAATCGATCGAAGAAAGGTAATAAAAGAACTAGTATTAATAGAACCTTAAAATACCTACCAAAAATGATACTCATGTATTCATGAATTTTGCTTTAAGGCACCATCTAAGGAGGCAGTTGTACGACTTTGTAATGAGGCATTCCTCACAAGAAATGGAATCGTTAAACCAGATACTATAAAAGAGGCAGCCAATGGTCTACAGGTAGAACAGCAGGAAGCTAAACAGGTAGAATAAACTTGCACAATCATTTTCCTTTACATTTATTTAACACTAGTAGAGTCTACTAGTCATTGTATGTTTCTCTTATACGTGTATGTGACTAGGCCTGGTGATGGGAAAAGTGGGACGAAGGGGGGGGGGGGGGGGGGGGGGGGGGAGCAGGCAATTTCACTAAAATTGCTCCTATTTGAAAAATTTTCATCCAATTTACACAAAATTTGTTTTAAAATGTGTTGAAATGATCTTCGTAGTCTAATTTTACTAAGTTGAGCATCTAAAGTTGTATAGGTATGTTGTAAAGTGTCAAAAGGTGGCTAAAATGAAAAATTCTCGGGTTTCAACAGATTTTAGAGCCTCCAGGGTTTCAAGAGGTTAATTAACACATAGGAGTATTGATTATGAACTATTTATATTTATTTTCAGTTAATTAGCTCATTACAAGGATTGGTGAAGAATGCCTTGTTTCATGGATCGACAGAACCAGCAGTAATTGTTAAATTATTCCCCAGTAAGTATTTGCATCAAACAGAGGCTCCGGACATCATGTACCCCGTTGCTTCCTTCTGGAAGATGTGCATGTGTTTGTAAATCAATTGTTAAATTATTCCCCAGTAAGTATTCACATCCTACAAAGGCATGGTACTAGACATCATGTACTCCGTTGCTTCCTTCTGAAAGATGTGTATGTGTTTGTAAATCAAGTTCTATTTGTAAAGGATCGGCTTACATGGATGTTGGCACAAAGTTGTTAAAGAATTTTCGGATAACTTGTATTTAAACTTGACATACTTATAATCATTTGAGTCTATTTTTGAGGCATAATTTTCTTCATAATGTGTAATGTTATTTACATGTATTTCTTTTTCAGATGACTTTCATAAAAATCTCAGGGATCTGTTGGGGAAAATTCTTATAGAAAATATCCCAAACTGGAAAAATATAGCAGTCAATAATATGGGTAAGGATGCCTTTCGTGACAACAGCAAATGTACCAGGCCCGTAGCAAGCTTTGGACAATGGACAGTTTGTAAAAAAATCCATGGTTGTTCAGATTTGACAATTTTGGCTCAAAATCACTCAAAAAGTGTTAAAATGGCTCGAACCTCCTGAATGCTCTGGCTACGGGCCTATTTCATACTGGTCACTAAGAAAACAAGGCAATATGTGTTATTTTTTATTTATATGAATGTTTCTTTTTTTGATATCAAGCAATTTCCACTTGTTAAAGAAAGACGTTCCTTATCTAATGTACATGTATGACCATTTAATTGCAAATTGGAATTTGTCTAACTGTAACGCTACTGGTATTGTTCACCTAATTACAGTGAAACCTGTATATCCAAATACCTCTGTTATTTGAACACCTGTAAATGTGAACACTTTTCTATGTCCCAATTTTGTAATCTCCCATAGGCCTGTAGACAGGATTTGCCAAGGGGGGTTCAGTTTTCAAAAATTTCCAGGGGGGGTTCACATTTGACAATTTTGGCCCAAATATGGCTAAAATCACTTGAGAAGTGCTCAAAATGGTGAAAAACTGCATGATTTTGAAAGAATTTTTGGCCAGGGGGCTGGGGGGGGGGGGTTCGTCCGAACCCTGCGAACCCCCCCTGGCTACGGGCCTGGACTCACTCGAAAAACTTGAATTGTGAACATCTGCTAATCTGAACACTTTTGGTCAATACCAGTGGCATCCAGATTGGACAGGTTTTAATTTATATCAAGATTGCATTCAAAATTACTCTTACAGTGTCACTACATGTACATAAGCGCATTACTGTTTTACAGTGTCACAACATGTACATGAGTGGATTGCTGTTTTACAGTGTCACAACATATACATGAGTGGATTACTCTTTTTACAGTGTCACTACATGTACCTTTGTGGATTACTCTTTTACAGTGTCTGTACACATTGGCGGATTACTCTTTTACAGTGTCACTATACATGGGTGGGTTACTGTTTTACAGTGTCTCTACATGTACATGAGTAGATTACTGTTTTACAGTGTCACAACATGTACATGAGCAGATTACTGTTTTACAGTGTCTCTACATGTAGATGAGTAGATTACTGTTTTACAGTGTCACAACATGTACATGAGTAGATTACTGTTTTACAGTGTCTCTACATGGACATGAATAGATTATTGTTTTACAGTGTCACAACATGTACATGAGCAGATTACTGTTTTACAGTGTCTCTACATGTAGATGAGTAGATTACTGTTTTACAGTGTCACAACATGTACATGAGCAGATTACTGTTTTACAGTGTCTCTACATGTACATGAGTAGATTACTGTTTTACAGTGTCTCTACATATACATTAGTATATTACTGTTTTACAGTGTCTCTACATGTACATGAGTGGATAACTCTGTTACAGTGTCTCTACATGTACATCAGTTGTCTCAAATTGTACATGAGTGAATTACTCTTTTACAGTGTCACTACATGTACATGTGTGGATTACTGTTTTACAGTGTCACAACATGTACATGAGTGGATTACCGTTTTACAGTGTTGTAACATGTACAAGAGTGGATTACTCTTTTACAGTGTCTCTACATGTACATGAGTAGATTACTGTTTTACAGTGTCTCTACATGTACATAAGTATATTACTGTTTTACAGTGTCTCTACATGTACATGAGTGGATAACTCTGTTACAGTGTCTCTAAATGTACATCAGTTGTCTCAAATTGTACATGAGTGAATTACTCTTTTACAGTGTCACTACATGTACATGTGTGGATTACTGTTTTACAGTGTCACAACATGTACATGAGTGGATTACCGTTTTACAGTGTTGTAACATGTACAAGAGTAGATTACTCTTTTACAGTGTCTCTACATGTACATGAGTAGATTACTGTTTTACAGTGTCTCTACATGTACATGAGTGGATTACTGTTTTACAGTGTCATTACATGTACATGGCTGGATTACCCTTTTACAGTGTCATTACATGTACATGGCTAGATTACTCTTTTACAGTGTCTCTACCCCGGCTTACTGATTTTGACTGGCGAGTGGATATTAAGACAGCATCTGATTCAATGGCAAGAATGAATGTGCCTACCTGCATATTACAATTAAAGGTGAGTTTTTGTAATAAAATCATTTATTTCAGTTAAATTTATTTATTTACAAGGTATGATACAAAGATGAGGTTTTGAGCTGAATTCATAACAAATACACTTTTAAGGTCTGGATAATTTAAGGTGCGGCTATGTAATTGCATAATTCAAAGTAAAACTCTGGATAAAACTGCATAACTGATATAAATATGTAGAAAGGTACATTCACTTGATAAATTGATGAATGGAAATGGAATAAGCTAAGACTCATAGGGACTGGGCTAAAAGAAAAATGGCAACAGTAGTTTGTAGTAGTTAGGCTTACATTACATTATAGATTCTAAAACATCTTCTGCTATCTTTCTGTAGGCCTAGTTTCTATGCTACAACTGTAAAAATCAAATGGATTACCATTTGGTATCTAACCACCACTCCAAAAAATCACAGAAGTAGAAAAATCTGAAACATCTATTTCATAGTGGCCATCTTTGTTATTTTATGGTTATCTCATCAGACCCATCAGCACAAGTGACTTTTTCATGGATTGTGTTCGGCGTTTGGCGTCGGTAGCGAATGGCAGGTGGTGACATTTTACATTTAAATGCCTTGTTAAATATTATTGTATTGGTAATATTCCAGGTACAAGAGGCGAAAACAAACATTGCTGAGAGGCCAAATGAAAACAATGTTAATGTTGAACTGTCCAAAGAGACACTGGAGACTATGCTAGATGGACTTGGAAAAATAAGGGATCAGTTATCGTCTGTGGCAAAGTGATGATATTCCATAAAGATATCATTGTATATTTGGAGACATGTCATGCCTGAAAATTTATAGAAAAATACAGTTTTAAAGGAGAAGCAAGGCTGTTTAATGCTTTAAATATAGAAATATTTGACTTACCCTTTATTAATTTGTCTGTTGCTTAACCATATTACAAAGATATTCTATTATGATTATGGTCATATTTTAAGCGCATTCTTGGGTGCTTTATTATGATCGTTTTGGGGCTAAAAAATTTATTGATGTATATCAACTGCAACCAGATTATCAGATTTTCAGGGATGTTCCCATGGACTTGAATCGAGAATCATTTTAAAAAAATGTCTGCATGCCATGAAATTTTAACTTAACATTCCATCTATAATATCTTGTCTGAAGGTTCTTCCCAAATTGTTACATTGATTTCAGATTTTCAAAATTCATGAAATAACAAGAAAAAGCAACATTTGATTTAAGAGCATAGCCAGTAATAATGAAAGCAAAACCCAAATATCTCAAACTCCTCAACGCACACAAATAATGTCTTACAAAGTACATCAGTATCACATTTTAGCATATGCAAAACTCAGTCTTAAAATACATTAAAGGCCAAAAGGATCTTGATCCATATGTAGCGCCACCGATGTAGCCCATATAAAGAAATGAATCATTCAACAATGACCATCAGGGGGTATCTACAGCGTATGACCTGACCACGAAGTGATATTACGTTTTTGAATACATACAGCAGGCCCATAGCCAGGGGGAGGGTTCGATGGGTTCGAGCAACCTCCCCCGCCCAAAAGTTTTTTCAAAATTATGCAGTTTTGCATCATGCTGAGCACTTTTTAAGTGATTTTAGCTATTTTTGGACCAAAATTTTCAAAAGTGAACCCCTTGGAATTTTTCAAAATGTGAACCCCCTTGGCAAATCCTGGCTACGGGCCTGATACAGGGTAGTGAGGACCAATATGTAAATTATGTTAATGTTGTTTGAAAATGTACCATGCTATTTATCACAATGGACTATAAGCTTAACACGTTCCACTTTCGTTTTGATGCACTCAAGTTTGATCTTACAACTTCACGTTTTTTTCAATGAGAAAAATAAACATTTGTAAAACTGTCGAGTATTACTTGTAAATCTTAAAGCCGATGTTGATTAGATTTGTCTAAAAAAATTTACCGCGAATCATGATAAACTACAAACATGTTATGTTTGAAATTACTTATCTTCATGTAATTTATTTCAGTTTATCTTTGGTCGTAATAGTTGATTATGTAAGTACCTGGTACAAGTAGAAAAATATATTTTTAATTTTTGAAATGGCAAATGTCATTATCACAAAACAATATCCACAGAAAAATGTGCATTCAGGTGTTTAGTGTTTACAGTTACACCCCCCCTCAATAAATTTGGTAACCAGAAGTTTTCAATAGCAAATGGAAGCCTGTCGATATTTAAAGAGAGAATCAGATCTAGCGGGCAGGAAAACAAAAAATTGTTTCAATTTTGGAATATTTCTGGCGCATGTCATTCCTTGTCATGTCTATTTTCTAAAAATACCCAAAGTGCACATTTTATGAGATATTATATTTGAGCTTGTAAGGAACAAATTGGTAGGTCAATTGTACATGTTGCTTTTAACTTTGTCACCTTCTATAGGTCTGATTCTGCCTTTAGTTTTGATTTTCACATTATTACAATCGTCTGGAAAATAAATGCTTTTTTAAATCGCCAGACATAAATGCTCTTTAATAAGACGGTGACCCAAAAATGGAAACTACAGGTTGCCATACGTACGGAGGGGACTACCCCATGCAGACAGATCGACTAAAATTACATTCGTATGATGCGAGACTCGACATTCACCGGGAAATTAGAAAAATTTGCCACCCATGAAGCAAATTAATTTTACTGCTTATAAATGGTGAATGACAGACACATTGAGTTCTATAAATATGAGAATAGCACGTGGTCTTGATATTTCAAGGTACTCGTTTGAATAGTGACGGGGGTGATTAAAATTACGATGTAAAGATAAAACCACAACGAAATATTTGTAGATTTCTTTAAAAAACTAAGAAATATACATCACATATCGAATTTTTCAAAACAGAAAAAACATGTATAAATAGTAAGGCGTGCAGGTCCGATTTCCCCTGGTAGCATTAACATTGGTCTCGTGTATGTCATACAATTAATATTTGAAACACAACTATTATTCGAACTTATGATACGGTCCGATACGGACATAAGTATGATGTGTACTTCAAGGTAATAAAGTAATACTAGTATCATACTAATGTCCGATATAGGTCATCATTTTTTATTTATCCTGAAGTTTTATTATCGGAATTGTGCAGTTTTATCAGACATGACGCCATGTACAAAAATAGTAGATTACATGTTTGAAGTAAACAAGTCACAATTTTTTGATATCTCAGTCCTATTGAACTCAATTATATATGGCTTGTTTAATTAATTTATTTATTGAAATCGCTTTTAATACAGCGGAACACAAATACGGTGCACAAAGGCTCTGATATTTAAGTTATCACATTACATTTGAAAGCATTTATCACTTTATACGGCGGCATGGTAACTTATCGTATGATCTGTAAAATGAAGCCTTCTGATTGGTCAGTTCTTGTGCTGTACCAATCTGTTTTGCTACTGAGATTGTCCCCATTGATCATTTCCGTCCCAATACAGAAAACATTGGTACGGAGGGGACATTCTCAGTAGCAATACAGAGGATCACACGATAAAAACATTATAGAATGATTTGAAGTGCAATACAGGATATATTCTGATCTCGATATTCTGTATTGGCATTCGACTTCGTCTCGTACCAATACGCACTTCAAATTATTCAATAACTTATATTATTCGATATTACATGTACACGATTACTCATGAAGATTAGATTAATATTGTTAGTTAAAATGACAATATATAATTTTAATCAGTGTTTCAGTCTTTGGCAATGGAAAGTATTAAGCTAGGGTCATCTTTTTCTCAATTGCACACAAAAATTACATAGGCTATAGAAATGCACTTGTCAATATAGTCATTATGAAATACATTTTTAAGTTTAACAATTCTGTACAATACATTGATATTATACAGATATTTGTACATTCACTTTGTGGTATTTGCAAAGGATAAAATGAACACAAGGTAAAATAAATGCTTAAGCAGGCGATCCGAGTTGAAGAAATGTTTCAAAAAATTGTTATTTTCACTGTGACGTTCTTTATGAGATCAAAATATACCTTCGTAAAAATATACAGAATCGAAATATTATGGTAATATATTTCACATAAGCCTACATAAGTGTTGATGTCAAGATGGCAAATTCGCAAAAATGAGGATCCACCTCCTCGTCAAGAGCACTTCGTGGCATCATGATAGTTTCATTACATCAGCCAAACATCCAGCACTCCGTCAAAGAGCAAAATGTATTTCATCTTCTGATCATTCGAGACGTACATGTAGATCACCAGCCAGGCCCGTAGCCAGAGGGGGGGGGGGGGTCAAGAATTCTTTCAAAATCATGCAGTTTGCAGTTTTCTAACATTCTGATCACATCAAGTGATTTTGACCCTCTTTGGGCCAATGTAGTCAAAAGTGAACACCCTTGAATGTTTTAAAAAGTGACCTCAAATGGCAAATCCTGGCTACGTGCCGTCGAGTGATTCTATAGTTTGATGGTTCTACTGTTCAAAATGACGATTTCAACAACTTAGTCATCCAAGCTAAGATTATGTGTTTCAAGTATAAAATCAGGAAGAGTACATCCGTGCATAATTGCAACAGTTACTTCCTGGTGCTACAAGAGTTTAAAATGTCGTTAAATGCTTATGAAATGTATAAGACGAAAGCGTGGTTTTTAAAACGCATTCATTTGATATATCATCTGTCATGTTTTTAGTTACAAATATTGCGTTTAAACTAGTTTGTTAGACAGAGTTAACATGGTTGCTATGGTGACGACTGGTACGGCTATATTACTTGCTGCACTCTTTGTAGTGTTTGTCGAAGGGACGGTGGTGACATCTGGTACTCGAGGTGTTGCATCTGCCGTAACAGTTTGCCCATCAGTTGTTGCCGCTAAATACAAATACACGTTAATATAGATATTACAGTACATCAGATACAGACACTGGATGTTCATACATGTATATCGCACAAGGCGAGAAAAATTGCAAAGAGTGTACAAGGTGTGCAAGAAAATCCCAGGAGGTACGTTACTGTCTACCATCATGGGAAAAATCCAATACCAACGGGTCAGGCAAATCCACCGAGAAGGCACAAAGAGAAATAAACTCGTTATTCGTACTTAGCTTCGCTTAAATGACCCGTTCATGGCGCCGATAGGGTTATTTTCGCCATGAACTGTGATACAGAATTATGCTATTTGCCCCAGGGTTTTGTTATACCATTAGATGGGGGAAGTGTCAGAAATAAGGATAAATTAATATGACGGAAGTCTGCTTATTACAATGTTGATTAATTAGTGCTTTCATGGACATTTTTTTTTTATTTTCCTTAAAGAATGGACATTGAAGCTCTCATTAGCTGACCGAGGTAAAATGAAACAGGAACGAGTCAAAAGCCTTATAACTAGTACTGTTTTGTTCAGGCGATTTATACAGTGCGTATAAAAAAACGCAACATTTCCGAAAAAGCACAAAATCAGTGACAACAGCATTGATTTCATTCAATGTACCATAAAGCCATGTGTCTCCTCTTTCCAATGGTATATCATTCGTTGATATTTGGTCATGATTGGGCGAGTAATCATTCCTTTTGCAAAGCGGGCCAAAATTAGCTTTTAAGACAAATTCATTAACATCGCAAAAGTCAGTGTTCGGGGCCCAATGCAATATTGGAAGAAAACATAAAACCAATGATGACTGCACCCTTTTCCTTCAATGTACCAAAAAGCTAAATTACTCCTCTTTGCAATGGGATGCCATTCATTCATAGGGAGTCATGGTTGGCCGAATAATCATTCATTTCGCAAAGTGGGTCAAAATTCAGCTTTGGCCCAAGTTTTAAACATTGCAAAAGAGATGGGGCATAAAGGCTATTGGAAAAACGTGTGACAGGTGTGGCATAGACATTAAAGTGTTCATACTCATACTCTTGCAAGAATACATCCTATACCCCTCCAAATTGCCACCACTTCTTTGCGCATAAAGATGGGCTCATCTCTCCACGCCATGCATGGTTCAGCCTTGAGTCATCTGTGGGTTAAAGC